TTTTAATGAATAAGTTGTAAACAGAAATAGATTTATTGCAATCTTTGTTAACACTACTGCAACATATATATATTTATATATATCTTATTAGAAATTATTGCAATAAAACTAAAAAGCGAACTATTCTAATAAAAATTAATTTATTGTAATAGAAAGCAAATTTAACGATGTGGTAAATGAATATAATAAAAACATATATACAATGTTACTATAAAGAACAAGTTTATTAACAAGTAAAATTGATTAGAAAAGAAAAAGAGAACATAAAACAATATTGTTAACTTTATTACGATAAAGATACGAGAATCTTAGCTTTACTGTTGTAAGACAAGAAACTCGATGATACCGTTTAAGTGCAAAAACTTCGTCCATGTTTGGAAGAAAACTTTTTTTTTAACTAAATACATGTACTTAATTCCTTTCTCCATTTTCACTGTGCATCTCTTTCTCTCTCTCTCTTTCTCTCTCTCTCTCTTCTGTGAAAAATTCTATGTAACAAAATGCTTAATAAAGTACAATTAAATTACTTATAATCGCTTTCGATTATTACGCTTAATATTAATAGGTAAGGGTTTTTAAGAATTCCTATGACAAAGTACATTGTTTTTCATATTAGTATTATTTAAACATTAGCAAATATCCGCAAAACCATACGCGCGTATATGCAAATATAAAACTATAAGGAATCACCGTATATAGTTCCTCGTACCCAGACGATCGTTTACGCATGCGCAGGAAGTAGGTTTTCGAAAGATAGATCCTCCGACTACTGATTTACCACGGTGCCCAAAAAATCTCAGTAGTTTAGTTGTTCCGCGACGCTCGCGTTCGAATGATCGTTGCCAGTGTTCTTCTATTTGCACAATAACTCTATTTCTTTTTTCTTTTTTTTTACTTTGGAATTTTTCATTAGTACAATTCTTCATAACTGCAATATTTTATACGTTGACACAGTAAACGCGTTAGCTAGATTTATTCAAGTGACTTTTTCTTTTCAATTTTACTTCTTCAGGCTATTTGACACTTTGATCGACCGGTGAGTATTAAGAAAATTCTGCCATCCGTATTTAAAACGCATATAACACTTCGTGTTAGGATCCTTTTACATCTGTCAGATGATACGATAATCTTTGCTATATATATACACCTGATCCTCGATTTACGCGGCACTTTTTTACGCGAGTCCTTTTTTCTACGCCGAATAAAATGTACTTTCGTTTCCTGAAATGTCATTATTATTGTTTCCTTTGTTTGGCTATGTGAATTAAATATGTATATTTAAAACTTATACCAGCTTTTCCTTCCAATATTTTGTTTTCTCTTGTACCGGCAGACTCTATTTACGCGATTCTCATTCGTGTAAAACGAATCCATGTAAAACGGATTTTCGCATAAATCGAGGGTCAGGTGTATATGCGTGTGTATATATAATATCTGTATGTATACAATAAGAAATTGTAACGGAAAATATTTCAAAATCGCAACCTTGAACCAACAATGAGTTATACAAATGAAATTAGGAGCTCGTATATGTATACAGCGAGAGAATAAAGGATATAAAATCTGCAAAAATGTTAATAACCATCTGCGTGTATTTAGGCGACTAGAAAAGGGGATAAAGGATAATAAGAGTACGGGGTGAAAAGGTCGCTACATGAAATCGTCAAAGTCATCGTAACGGTAGTCGCTGTATTCGCTCAAAAGAGTATTTTCACCCTCGATTTTTAATTTCGCTTTGCCTTTGCCCTTGTTCTTCTTCGCCTTATCGCCCTTCTCAACCTTCACTTTTTCAATCAACAGATTGTCAATCATTGTTTTCGCCTTCTTCAAGTTTGTCGCAGACACTGTAAATAACGTTCAGAAATTTGTTATATAATATGTGTATAAAACATATGTGTTAGATTATTATAATATTTCGTTATCAAGTTCAAAAATTAATTAAATCTATTTCAGAAAAATAATAGTTTTGAATATTTACTGTTCGTGTTGGTCGATAGTAATAACATAAAAAATACACAAGTATTGGATGCAATTAAAGTGAAAAACATTACCTCACCAGTGCTTAGAATATGATTAGAAAATTGTTTTATTTGGATATGAGTTATTCTTGAGACATAACTTTGTAATTCGTTAGTGTGTTACCTATGTTAAAAAAGAGAATAAATGTACTCACAATTGAGAGCAATTGTTTTCATAAGTTCTTCTGCAAATGGAGGGAATTCAGTATGCTTAGCAAAATGATTTATTTTTTGCGCAAGTACTCTTCCATACTGTTCGAATTCTTCTTCTGTGTCGGGCACAGCAGTGTCCAGACTCAATCCAGATTCATCGCCTCCTACACCGCCCACACCTTTAAGGAAAACAATATAACGATTAGAGTTGCGAGACAAACTATAATTGAAAATGAATCGATTACATTAATCGTTTCTTTCGTAAAGTTTTTAAATTTTAACAATAATGTTTAACAATGTTATCTTTACATTTATATACATTATATTATACGAATTTACGTTACCGAAATACTGCTGGGAATAAAAAATTTTGATTTCGACATCTATTCACAGAATATTATAGATATATAATTACTAAGAATTCTATGGCCGACATAATATGTTAAAATAAAGCACGAAGTTTTCTCATTAAAATTAAATATTCATCAGGAACGGTACGGGAGAACAATGTTGATAAATAAGACACGTCTGATTTGCTTTTTTATAATAGAGGAATGTTTATTTTTTTTTTGCACAGTAACAATTTTATACTTTATTTAAAGACTGCATTACCTCAATTAAATACATTATGTCTCTAGTACGG